GGGGGGAGGAGGAGACGAGGAGGCGGGAAAGGAGGAGGAGGATGTGGTGGGGGAGGAGTAGGTGAAAGAGAGGTAACGGAGGAGGGTTGGAAGGGGACTAAGAGTAGAGCTTGAGGGTAAAGATAATATATATGGTTTATAATAGTAATGCTAGTGGGGATGAGGTAAGGTCGGGATTAAGAAGTGCGGGGTAGAGGAGCAGAAGTGGTTTGAGTGCCGGACGGCCGCTAAGTAATACGAGGAGGACCGAAGGAGGGAGGTGAGGAGAGAGGAGGGGAGTGGACAGTGAAGAGCGGAGAGGAAGGCCAAAAGAGGAACAAGAGATTGGTAGGCAAAGGCGCAGGATATTACCATCTCGCGATAAATTATTATATCGATGTGTTCAACTAAGAGATGTATTGGGAAAATTAGTGAGAAAGTAGTTGAGTGAAGCAATATGAAGGAAAGAGGTATCAAGGAAAGAGGTGAGGAGTGAGAGAGATAAAATAGTAGAGTATACAAAGAAGAGCTAGGCAACGAGAGCCCACAGCGACACCCACACAGAGCACACGAATAGCACGACACAAACATAAAGCCAAATCTAGCCACGCACAGAAGGACCATAGAGAGAAATAAGAGAATGAGGAGTGAGGGAAGAGGGTAAAGAGGAATTAAGAGAATAGGAGGGAAAAGGTATATATATAAAATTAAGGATAAGAGAAGGAGTATTAGATGATAGGTAGGAAGGTAAGAAGGTACGTAATAGGAGATATGAGAGAGCTTGAGAATGAATAGGAGGAGGAAGGTTGTGGAAAGTAATAGAGAGGAGTAGTGGAGGTAATGAAGTGAGGAGGAGAAGAAGGAGTGAAGGAAAGGTGAGTTGAATTGGACATGAGGAGGAGAAGAGTGAATATAAGGGGAGCGAGGTGGAGGTAATTAAGGAGTAGATGAGGATGGGGAATAGGAGGAGGAGGTGGAGGAATAGGAGGAGGAAGGTGAAGGATATAGGAGGGAAAGAGGGAAAAGGGAAATAGAAGGAGGAATAGGAATAGGAATAGGAATTAAGAGGAAGAGGAGGAGGAGGAGGAGGAGGAAGGAGGGAGAAGAGGAGGAAGAGAATTGAATAGGAGGAATTAGAATAAGAATAAAAGGATGAGGAGAGGGAGGAGGGGGGGAGGAGGAGGAGGAAGGAGGAGGAGTGGAGAGTACAAGGATGGAGGAGGAGGAGGAATGAGGAATAATGACGAGGAGGTGAGGTTGGTGGAGTGAATAGAATAATGGAATTAGGATGGAATAGATAATAGAACAGAGAGGAATAGGAATGGAATAGGATGATGAGAGTAGGAGGAGGAGGAGGAGGTGAGTCGGAGTTGTCAGAGGAGTATGGAGGAGGAAGTAGGAGGAGGTAGAGGAGGTGAATCAAAGAGAGGAGGATAGAATAAGAAAGGAGGGGATAGGAAGAGGTATAACAGAGGCGAGAAGGAGAAGGAGGAGGGAGGAGGAGGAGGAGGAGGAGGAGGAGGAGGAGGAGGCAGGAGTGAGAGTGAGGAGGAGGAGGAGAGGAGGAGTGCAATAAGTAGAAGAAGAAGAAAAAGTATGAGAAAAGAAGTAGTGTTAGGGTAGGAAGGAGATGGTAGGAGTAGAGGTAAGAGAGGAGGAGGAGGAAGTGGTAAGAAGGAAAGGATGAGGAGTATAATGGAGAGAAGCGAGAAATGTGAGTAAGGATAAAGGAGAGGGAGAAGGGATGTAGGAGAAGGTAGACAAGAGGAGGAGGAAGTGAGGTGAGGAGTAGAGAGGAGGGAGGAGGAGGAGGAGATGGGGAGAGGTAGAGAGAGGAGGCTAGAGGAGAGGAGGAGGAGGAGGAGTGAAGGAAAGAGAAGGAAGGAGGAGGAGGATGAGAGAAAGAGTGAAGGAAGGAGAGGAGGAGAGGATATAGAGGAAGTGAAGGAGGAGATAATTAGGGGATCATAGAGGAGAGTGATAGGAGGAAAACAAGGAAACGGGAAAAGGCACGATGGTAGGAGGAGGAATGGAAAATGGGCTGAATTAACACAGAGGTGAGTGAAGCAGGAGTGAGAAAGGAAATATAATGAAGGGTAAAAGGTAGGAGGAACAGAGATATGATAGAAAAGCCTTTAGAGATACAGAAAAGTGGCCGAGCATATATATTACTGGCAACAGCACTCAACAACTGATATTTTACCAACTGCGATTTGCAATCATCATCTAACACATATAAAGGTGTTAGACAATATACCAAGAGTACAAAGGAAAGTCCAAGTAATATCACACTACAAGAAGAACCAAACTCAGCATAATAATAAAAAATATTAATAACGCAAAACATAGCACTAAGTCACATGTAAATCCTAACACAACATTGCTAATATAGCAGTTTTTTTCTCATTCTCGACACACACCACAAACCAGCAACACGCATAATGAACAATCGACAGGTGGGGCAAGCACACAGAACCTACCTTTCTGACTTCTCGTGCCTTCTCAACCTCTCAAATGTGGTCCCAGCCTGAAGCCGACTTGTCCTGGCGGTCACTCTGCACTCCAAACTTTCCTCCAAAGCCTTGACTGTAATCTGTGGGAACAGACAAGCTGAAATGCCACTCGCTCACTCTTGAACTGTTTCTATTACTTAATTTGGAATGGACACTCCTGTTTCGATGAGGCAAGAGGATCACAAAAGAAAATGATTATGATAGACTGGCCCATTAAATGATAAAGACTCAAGGCAGATTTAATAAATAACGAATAGTATAGGCTATGTATAATGACAATTAATATTGGGATTAACATGCATTTCTTTTATTTCTATTAATGTTGCAACTTCTACCTTGAGAAATTTATAAATAGAATGTTTGTTTTACTCGACTCTTTCCCCATGAACTCCTTTATTACAGAGATAATGAAACAATTTCATCTGTTAATCAAAGCATTAAGATTCTTTGCCATTTACTAAGCAGAAAAAATAGGAGAGAAAAGCAGAATCTAGGTGTTCACAGTTTCATTTTCTCTCTTTATAGAGAGAAAATGAAACAGGGAACACCTAGATTCTGATTGTTACTATATGCATATATATGTATATGTGTGTACACACAGACACACACACATA